ATCTCGACAGCTGCCGGCCGGCCCTGCCCCGGCGGCCGAGCGTCTGCGCGCCTCTGCCCGAGCCGGCGTGGAGCTGCGGCGCCCCGCGGACCGCCTTCTCTGCAGGCAGGTGGGTGCTGGGTCCCGGGGAGCGGCGCTGAGACGGGGACCCGGAGTCCGGCCCCAGCTGAGGGGCCCTGGGATACTCCCGCCTTGGGTCCCGCTGCAGACCGCAGCTGTCGAGATTTTGCGTTACCTCCGGATCACCTGGACTTTGCTCCTACCGAGCCGGGGAAGTGGTGAGGAAGGATGAGCAATTCAGGCTTGCAGCCCAGAGCCCCCAACCCCGACTTCCGGAAATGGAAAGCTCTGTGGGTCGGAAGCCAGAGCCCTTTGTTCTAGTCTTACCTATGCCAGTGACTCCCTGCGTGATTTGGGGCAAGTTCCCGCCCCTCACTGGGCCTCTTCCACCTACCCACCTGCAAAATGAGAGGGCCTTTGGATGGGTCTCCCCTAAGTTCCAGACTGGCTTAAATTCATTTCCTTGACAGACTTCCTCTCAGGCTCATCCCCAGACTCATCAGCCAGGTCCCTCCCTCAGCAAAAGCTTGGCTGCACTCTGAACCCTGCCCCCTCAGGTTTCAACCCGACAGCCACGGGTTGTCTGGAATCAGCTCTGTCTGGGAGCAGAAGTTTCAACCCGCCTCTGGGTGACAGGCCGAGAAATTTGTTTCCCGTGCACGAGTCAGTAATCTTTTCATCGGCACTCTTCCCAGGCAGGTCTTACTACCTCCAGTAAAGATAAAAAGCTGGGCACAGAGAAGGTTAGAGACAGGTAGGAACAGGCTGCTGTATCCTGTCTTTGGTCCTGTGCTGTACAGGTTCATTGAAATCAGGTGTTTTTAAATCCGCATATGTCTAGGCATGGTGGAGTTGAGGGGAGCACTGGCCAGAAAGTCTGGAAGTTTGGGATCTAGTCCTGGCTGTGCCACTGACTAACAGCACAGGCAAGTATCTGCCCCTCTCTGGCTCAGTCTTCCCTACTCAACAGTAAGGATGTTGGTCAGGTGGTCAGCAAGGGCCCTTAAGTCCTTGATATTGCTAATCATAGTAATAGCAATCAATAATTGTTTTCTCGTCCTGCCTGAGCTGGCCCTTGTCTGTGCAAAGCACCAGACTCCTTGCTCTGCCACAGGGCCTTTGCTCTTGCTATTTCTAGTGCCAGGAACACTTACTCCCTCCGCTTCCTGCACATTAATTCTTCAGATCTCCACTGAAACTTCACTTGCTTAGGAAGTTCCCTGACAACAAAGTGTTACCCTTCTCACTGTGTAAGTGAGACGAAAAAAGGATTACTCAAAGCACCATGAATGCATTGAGAAGACCAAAGGGTCTGTATCCCAGAGAAAACTGGGTACAGCAGCCATTCAAAGTTAGCTTGTTTTTTATTGTGAAGACAAGGAAGTTTCACAAGAAAATTCAGTTGATTCAATCATTACAAAAGGACTCAAGGACATGAGCAGCTGTTACAAAAGTTATCTATGGCTAAGTATAGCTTAAGCAATGGAAACTAGTAACATCAGTAAAATTAACGATGTGACATTCCAAAGTACAATTAGTGAAAAGCTAAGTTGGTTAAACCGGCTCATTATCTAAAGTATAATCTCTCCTTAAGCAAAAGTTACATTCTTTTTTTTTTTTTTTAAAAGATGACTGGTAAGGGGATCTTAACCCTTGACTTGGTGTTGTCAGCACCACGCTCAGGCAGTGAGCCAACCGGCCATCCCTATATGGGATCCGAACCCGGGGCCTTGGTGTTATCAGCACCGCACTCTACCGAGTGAGCCACGGGCCGGCCCAAAAGTTACATTCTTATGCTAAAATCTAAGTACAATTATTTTTAAAGTTTCCCCAACAGGGGCCGGCCCAGTGGCGCACTGGATAAGTGCGCCGCTTGGGAAGTGCGGCGGTGCTCCCGCCCGAGGGGTCGGATCCCACAT